GGTGCCAAGATATGAGGATTCGGCAGAACTTCACATCGGTTGTGCACCCGCAGGCAAACAGTCAAGCAGAAGTTATGAACAAAGCTATCCTCCGCGGGCTGAAAGCGCGACTAGACCGAGCTAAAAGGTTGTGGGCGGACGAGCTACCAAGTGCTCTATGGGCTCACCGAACTACGAAAAAACCGCCACGAGAGAGACCCCCTTTAACCTCACCTACGGCACTGAAGCGGTAATCCCGACGGAGATCGAAATACGTACACTGCGACTAGAAGCATACGACGATCAGACAAACGGAGACGAGCTACGTACTAACCTCGATCTACTCGACAAGGTAAGAAACCTCGCGTACATCCGGACCACAACTTACCAGGAAAGAGTAGCTCGGTACTACAATGCCAGAGTAAAAAAGCGAAACTTCCGCGTCGGCGACCTGGTTCTCCGTAAGATCATGGCACCCAAGCCCGGCGTGGGCAAACTTGGACCGAATTGGGAAGGGCCCTACCGAGTAAAGAGAGCGCTAGAGGGAGCATACGGGCTCGAAACCTTAGAGGGCAAACAAGTACCCCAAGCGTGGAACGTCGTTAACTTGAGATGATACTACCTATAAATCACCGAGCGAGGTGGACTAAGTCGCTACCAAGGACCTCGGCGTGGGCAAGCAAAGGCAAAATGCTAGCACCAAGCTGACGAGGCAAAGCGCCAACAGCGAGCTGATAAGGACCTCGGTATCTCATCATCGGGGGCCAAGTGTTGATGCCAAAAGCGGCCGCACGAGTATGGTTCTCGACAAAACAATATAGTCAGTTCGGGCATATAGCCTTATTATGCTAATCCGCCCTAGGCCCTAATTCCAGCAGTCCGACAATATAATCAATTCGGCAAAGAAGGAGAAGACAACAACACTTAACCAAAAGAACATTTCATTACAAAATACTCTGTTTACATACCAAAAAAAAAAAAAACAGAAGCGAGCTCACAGGCCCGGAGGTACATCTTCCTCACCCTCGGAAGGCACTTCAACGATACCCGAGGGTCCTGCCTCGTTCTCAGAATCCGGTTCACCGTCAGCTGCGTTGGCCATCTCCTGAGTAATGAGCGAAGTGGTTATGGCACTGATGTCGAGCTCGGGGTATGTGTTCCTGATCATCCACCGGCTTAGTTTAAAACCCATCCTGTACGAGTTCACCATCAGCTCGTCAAAGCACGGCGAGGCGATATAGTCATCGACGGCCTTCTTCTTGGCATCCTTGATGCCCTGAGAAAAGATCTCAGTCCTCTCCCTAATATCCTCCTGAAGGTATTCGACCTGATGCTGCAAGTCCAGCCTCAGGTCCGCCATGTGCTTCACCACCACTCCCAGGGCCTCGGTGTCTCTCTGAGACCTCGCCAGCCTGGCCTGTGCAGCGYGAGAAGCCGCTTCGGCAGCGCGGGAAGCCTCTTCGGCAGCTCGTGCCCGCCTCGAGCTCCTTTCCGCTTGGGCCGCTAAAGCATGGATGGAGGAGTTCACCTGCCAAAAAGAAAAATAACGACAATGTTAAAAGAGTAATAGCGAGAAAGGTAATGACAAGGAACCCGACAAGAAGTCGCTGACTTACCACCATGGCATAAGAGGCAGCACGCCCGGTTACATGGTTCAAAGGAAGCTCGGCCCACGCCGCGACCTCCTCAAGGTAAATGGCCTCCATACTTTTTTTGAAGAGCGTGGTTCGGCGACAGCACGCTCCTGAACTCGCCTTAGCCTCCCGAGCCTGAAGGCCTAGCCCAGGTATAAGCAGCCTCAGCGTAAGGAGCCCCCGTATAAGCAGCCTCGGCGTAAGGGGCCCCTGCCGCTTCTTGTACTAGAGGGGCCATCTCGGGCTCCCTGGGCGGATCCATTGGCGGAGAGCTCGGTACCTCGGGCTCCGCATCTCAGGGCGGTTCGGCACGAGCCCATTTGACAACTCGCTTCCTCCTCTTCATGGTATGAAACAGGTTCCCACCGCGAGTCTTTTCTGCGTCTATCACACCTGCAAAAAGAGCTCGACATCAGGAAAACGAAAGAATGAAAAACAAAGGCAAGCCTCTAAGCAAAGAACCTACCCGAACTCAGGCTGGCCTGGATGAGCTTGGCCTCCGTTAGATAATGGTGGCATTTTAGCCTGAGCCGGGCCCAGTCCCGGAGGCCCTTCGCCGTCTCCCTATCTAGCGTAACATCGGGGTCAGGGGCAGCCAACCCCCACCCAGTTTGGAATGGCCACCCCGTTGCACTTCGTACCACGAAGTAGTCCCGTTTCCACGTCGGGACCTTGTTGGGAAGATCGTGTAAAAGCTTGAACCCCGGGCGAAGAGACAGGTAGTATGCCTGCCTACGCCCGGGAAGGGGACCCGCTTGCTTCTTAAGCATGAGAATAGAAGAGAAGATCTCTAAGTCTAAAGGTAGAATGTGTTCGCAAAAGAGGGAGATAGTTCCAACCAAATTGTGGATAGAGTTTGGGTGGAGCTGACCGACAGTGACACCGAAGTGGTTCATAACCTCGACGATAAGAGGGTGGAAAGGTAGGCGCAGCCCGGCGACGAGCTGCTCCCGGAATATCACGATCTCGTCCAGACCGTGTTCTCAAGGGAAGTCGCCCGAGGGTATAAAGTAAGTATACTCCCCGGGCAGGTTGAATTGGGTGATAAGGGAGTAAAGCCCCTCAGGCATCATGGTTGAGGACCCGAACTTGTCTAACGTCCGACCTCGATGGGAGGAGGACGCCAAACTACTCGAGGCAGCTCAGCCTACGGGTTCGAACTCTTCCTCGAGCTCTACCTTGGGCTCACTAAGGCTGTCGGGGTTGCAGCTCGGTTCGTGGAACCTGCATTTGACTCCCTCAAGAAGTTGTCTAAGCTGTCCGAGCTAAACATCGGGAGGAAAGGAAAACCAGGAAGAAAGTACTGACTCACCCGGAAAAAGCTAACGGACTACGGAAGGTTGACGCGAGCTAAAACTTGGACGTGAGCTCAAGAAGCGAACGCAGGAGAATGGCGATGGAAAGCGACTGGGGGTCCCCCACTATTTATACCCATAGTGACCGAAAACCGACGGCTCTGATCGAGGCAAATCCAACAGCTCACGATCAAGCTGACCGCACGCCTCCTAAGACCGAGACGTGATTGGCCGCACATCTTTGGAAACCGAAGTGGCGTCGGCGCACGTCTCCCAGCATTGAAGGCAGCAGTGGCGCGTTTTTTGAATTTGAAATAATGCCCGCCGTCACGTCTCCCAACATTTAAACACGGATTGACGCGTTTTCTGACTTTTTGGTGCTCGAGGAATCCGGAAATTTCTTAACGTATGCACACTTCACGCCATTAGTCAACCAGTTTGAAGTACGGGTCAAATCCACCCGTTACCTCGCGAACTCCCCGCGCTAGGGCAAGACCCTTAGCACGATGAGTGGGGGGCAATTGATGGAGGAAGATTTGGCCCGACCTCTTGGCCACCCAACACGTGGAAGCAACCGAGGGTGACCTGGCAGGAGCGACAGCTCAGCACGACAATGCTCTCAAGGCACGAGCTCCGAGAGGAGGAACCAGCAGTCCGAACTCCCCAAAAGGAGCCCGAACTCTCCCTTTGACCCCAAACCTTACGAGGAGCGCAAAGGGCAATAACTCGAACTGGCCCACCCCTGGGCAATTCGGGCCACACTTCTATCCGAACTCAAGACTTCACCTCGCACCCCACTCCGGCACTTCGTCTCTAGGCCGCCGAACTAAACAACCGTACCTAACACCAAAGGAGTCTGTATCCTGAGGCGGCGCGCCTAACTGACTTAGGATCTGACGCTTGACAGCCGTACTTCAATGGCCACCTGCCACCGCCACCTCCAGTTACAGAGACGGCTCCGACAAAGAGAACAGTGGCGATTGTCTGCCCCAGCAGAGGTGATGACACCCGAACTGGCAGAAGTGCAGAGGTAATGATACCCAACCTGACAGGAGCTTGGGAGTGAGTGCGCGAAGTGGTTATAAAAGGCCCTCTTCCCCCCAAGAATGGAGGTACATGATAACTTTGCACCATCTGGTTTTTATCTTGCCTTTGAGAAAATACTAACTTGAGCTTCGGAGCACTCTTACTGGGTTCCTCCCCGGAGACTACTCGCTTTCTTCTCCATTTCAGGCACATTTTGCTCCAGTTAGAGGCAAGATCGTTGACAAATAGGACCGACCGGATTGTGCTCCATCATTTATGATTTACGATTTCACAAAATTATAGTATAGGATTTGTGATTTTGCAAAATCGCAATCTGCAACTAATGTGTCATTGCAAACTTCTCATCACACAAAATGTCATCACACTAAAAGCATAAACAGCTCTCACGAATCACACAAGTGCAAGTAAAATGCACCTCATTGCACTACACACGTGCGTGTGTGCATTGCACGGTAGCAAGACTCTATACTCTCCTCTCTATAACTTTAGGGAGTGCAAACAAACTCTTACTTAAAAAAAGCTCAAGTTAGTTTCAGTAATTTTTCAATGTGGGACAAAGCTTAAAAGAAGATAAACAAGTTAAAACAGAGTTTTGTTGGAAATTTTAAAACCAGTTTTCAATGGTGCATGTCAAGTGTGTTTTTGTCAATGTAATTCATCAATCAAACCCCATTGAATTTTAATCTCTAGTGAGATTAAAGTCCAACAGTAAATGGATAATGTTAATTATCTGCTTGCCCAATGCCCATAGATGTGTTTATGTCCTCTAAATCACGACTCAAGGTGTCATAACTTGTCTCTGAATTCACAATTCATGATCTCTAATGCATGGGATGCCCCCAACTGATGAGGTAGATCGTAGATGATAGAAGATGCTACTCTCGCAACCATCTGTTATCCTATTACTACTGACAAAGGAGACTCGTTGCCTAACATTCAGGTATGGTTTCAAAATTCAATGGAAAAAGTCACAGTTCTTAGTTCTTACTATAGGTTATTTACAGAATGTTTTGTAAATCACAATTGCTAATAATAACAAAAAATATCCTGGAAAAAGAACATCATTGGTTTAATGAAATGGCATGCTCATACAAAGGATCAAAACATATCATCATTTCTAGACTTTATTAAAATCGGAGCTATGAGCCTCAATAAAATTTAAAAAAAAAAAAAAACAAAGCAAAATTGCTCAAAGGAAAGTTTCTAAAAAAGGCAAAAGGCTTTCCATTGGAACAACCCACCTATTACATACTGTTTAAGACTTCACCGTCGAAAGATCAGGACCCTCATTTGGCTTGTGGGTGGGTTGCAATGTATTCGATGAGATGAGCTGCTGAAGAGAATTTGTTGGCTTCACTGTCAGGGATGTCCACAGCAAATTCTTCTTCCACTGCCACCATTACCTCCACATTATCTAACATATCCAACTGCAAGTCATCCTTGAAATTTGCTGTTGGGTTCACCTGTCCGACCAATTTAACCAAGAGTTACTACTTCATATGTAATACAGACAAGAGAAAATGATTCAAGTTAAGGAAACAGATACAGCACTTGAGAATCCTGAGAGAGTAAAAAAAGTGTGAAGGGCCTACAAATTGTCTCAGTTTTCTTTTTTCTTTCTTTTTATTCATTTGCAAAGAATAGTTATAACTGTACGTTAAAATCATAAAGGAGAAAACTTTTTCCTCTGAAAAGAAAATAAGGAAATTTATACATTTGACAGATTATTATGGGTTACAATCTAAACATGTCATTAAGTCATTGGCATCCAATTTATGGGTTACAATCTTCCCCCTTTTATGCACCAAGTGGTCATTCTCAGATTCTAAACTACATTCATGCTTGTTCGCCCAAGATTTTACAATTGCCCCAAGCAATGGCCCCTTAATTATGTTTGCATATAATAAAGAACATATTTTCTTGTTATGATGGTCTTTGCCCTTGCCTCCATAACTATGACCCAGGTTTGACACTCCTTGCATATTTCACTAATAACCAAAATAATATATACATAAACCAATGACACAGACAAGTTGGTTAGAACTGCTTGTGCAATGGCATTTTACTGGGTCCTGAAAATTTCAGAAAACTAGGATTTAGAAAACTGAAGTCTGAGTGGTCCAACTGCCCAACCTTGTCCAGGTCTGATAAGAGTATAAGAAAAAAAAAAGTTTCTATGTAAAACCTTGTTCAGGTCCTGAAACTTTCAGAAAACTAGGATTTAGAAAATTGTAGTCTGAGTGGTCCAACTGTCAAACCTTGTCAAGGTCTGATAAAATTGTAAGAAAAAAAAAGTTCCATGTCTTCTTAATCTCTAAATGAAGCCTCCATTAAAAGCAGTCCCTAGACCCTACTTTTATTTCACGCACCATTACATAGGCCAATTTAGCAGCTCCATAACCCACTGAACTTAATTATAGCTATTCTATTATAAACCCTAGCTGCATCCTTAACTTAGGAACTCTACTCAACCATAAAGGTCATAAAAAGATTGCCTTACATGCATCAAAGCTCTTGCATAACCATCATTATTAATTTTGTCTTTCTTGTCCTTTTCTTTAGGAAGCAAATAAACAGAATTACAGAAAAGCAGCAACTGTGTTGCAATAGCAAAACAGGAGTCATGTTGCCAACCCCATATAGTTGGGGTAAGGCTTGGATGATGATGAGCAACTGGTCTGCCAATGAGCCCACAACAGCCCAGATATTAACTTTGGTTGAACTTTAATAATAGGACAGCAACTACGTTTTTCTTGTAGTGGATTTAGTTCACTCATCCAACATTAAGTTCCTCTAATCTTTGTAGCATTGCTCAGAGCCTTACAACTGCTTTGTACCGAATACAACATCCCAACTCAACACTCAATAAGAGGCGTAACTTAATAAGTGGCTATGGAGGAGCAAAGTTAGACTTGATGAGCAAATATTCACAGCTAGTAGGTTTCTTTCTCAATCTATTGCTTCCTGGCAAAGCTGGTGTTGGCTCTAATGGTACCATTTTAGATAGCCTTCTTTGTTTGATATTCAGAGCCTGCCTACTGCACAACCTTTTGGATATAATGTCAGTATATTACATAAGGTTCAAATATTTACACTATATTTTTGTCCCGTTTACAATGAAAATTTTGTTTTCTTGCCATTTATATCAAAACAAATAAGAAGGGATGTAAAACAAAGTTTCCCTTGTAAAAGGATCAGAAATAATGGCTGAAGTATTTGAAATGGAGAAAGAAATACAATCATACTAATAGGATTAGAAGTTATTAAACTAGGGCTTTATGTCTTGTAGTCAGTGCATAATTTTAACAAAGTTTTACTCTAGAAGTTAATACTTAAATATAACCACATAAAAGCAGAGACATCTCCCCCGACCCACTTATACAAACAGATGCATACAATCAAGAAAATGGCGAAACCCAGGAAAGGAAGAAACCTGAAATAGTGAAATGTCATCTAGCAAAAGGAAAAAGGGAATGAGGGAAATCCTAATGGAAAATGGACCCAAAATACGCTTCCTTTATCAACCATGGAACCAAAAGAGATGGCCTAAAAGAATTCCCCAGATGAATAAAAAGCAAAACAAAACAGCATACAAGAAACACCAAAAGCTCCCAATTCAAAACTCCGACACAATCAGTCAGCACCAGAGGTTCCCAAAATATAACAGAGGGGCAACCAAGAAGGAACTCCCAAATAACAAAATCAAACACAAAAAGCAAACCACGGCACAACAAAGGAACCCAACTATAGTCCATAACAGTACAGGGACAACCATTAGGCTCTATACTGGCATAATAAAAATTCCCTTCCTTTTACTTCAAAATTTTCGAAATGCAGTGTAAACGAAGCAAGTTGCTATCCCAGTGTTCCGATTCATCCAATCAGATCAAGTTTTAGTCTTGCATCAAAATTGCAAGAAAATATACCAATAAAGCTTATGAAGTTCCCAATTAACAAACAAATAAAAGAAAAAAGGAGCGAGGAAGGGAGTGAATGAAGAGCACCTTGGCAGGATCAACGAAGGGGATGGATTTGAGAAGATCCACAACACGGGTGGTGACCTCCTGCTTGTCCAAGAAAGTACCAGGAGAAGAACAAGCAGCGGATTGAGAGAAACCTCTAGATCCTGCAATGTACCCTGGAAAACCTCGATTTCTTCTGATCAGCAAGATTTCAGGAGAAACGCCATTGATGCGATGCGATAGAATGGAAAGAGAAACGAAAGCAGCAGCAGCAGCAGCAGCAGCAGAAGGTCAGTACGTATGACCTGCATCTTTCTACTCCTCTAGAACTCTTTCTCGGCCTCAGACACCCAAGGAGGTGACCAGCAGCATTTGGAATGCCAACGGGGCGGGTTCGGGGCGGGGATCATATTCGCCGTCCCCGACCCCGATTATCAAAATTAAACCCGTCTCAGTTCCCCATCCCGCCGGGGATACAATTTGTCCTCCATCCCGATCCCGACGGGGATGGATTTCGCGCGGAGACCCGAATTCCAAAATTTTTTAGGTAACAGTATTTATTTGAAAAACAAATAAAAATTTTAAATTATAAATATTTTTTAAATATATTTTGATATATATAATATAAATAATATATATATGCATAATCAGGGTCAGGGCGGGGCAGGGACTTCAATCCCCATCCTCGATCCTGACTCCGATTGAGGATTCCTATTAATTTCCATCCTCGTCCCTGTCTCCGCCCCGCCAAAAGAATCCCCACACCCGACTCCATCGGGTCGGGGAAATCAGGTCTCCGTCGGGAATGGGGAAAATTGTCATCCCTAAGCAACTTCCGAATCCTGATTACAAGTCCGGTAGAAAGTAGAAACTAGAAACAATTAAACGAATGAGATGATCAACTGTACGACCTTAAAAAGTGCACATTGCGCAGACGTCCAACTCAACCAATCAATCCCATAGACCCGAGACCAAGTCACCTACCAATAAAATACATTTCAAGAGATCAAATCAATCCCCCACAACGTCCTACACGACATCCCCGCCGTGTATTGGTAACATCTCCTAATGATAATATCAAAAATAATGATGTCTTCATTGGGAGATGTTCCCAATACAAGGCAGAGATGTGTTGTGAGACATTGTGGGGGCAATTTTGTGGAGGGCTTCAACATGTACCAACATCATCTGACACCACACATTTCATGCATGAGGGGCTCCACTTTTATGATGAGCCCTAGTTTCATAGTGAGAGTGTAGTGTTAGATCAAGTTGGTAAGGTGTTGGAACTTATTTTGCTGGTAGGAGATCCCAACTCCACATACCCAAATTATTAAAGTCTACTTCAGAAGGCTCGGTTCTGCATAACCCTATTAGGCTCAATTTGGAAGAAGTACAAATACAAAGAGTGCAAATTTGTATTTTGTATGTATTTAACTATTTATATTGTATATTGATGTAATGCAATCTGGTTGCTCCCTGTAGGAGATGATCTGGCTACCAGCAACGACGGGAACTGAGGAACCTGCAAGAGATGAAATAGAGAACTCGAGGTGGCTTACCCGGCGAGGACACTCCGATGGTTAAGTTAGCACTTAGTAGCGAGCTTGAAGACGATAATAGATTGTGAGAGAGATAGAGAGCAGAGATTACGCATATCTTCGCCCCTAGGGGGTGAGGTCTTTATATATTGGAGTCCTCGCGGGTTTGGTGGAGTAGTTCCTGGATCCCTGCTGTGGTGGGATCCGTTTCCGTGTTAGGTGGGGATAATGCCGCCAACCGGTAAGGTTTCCCATTTCCGCCTGAATCGGGAAGTGGGTGAGCTAATATAGCCGTTACAAGGCACGATCCCGTAAGATGCGGGTACGGTGGTGAGAGCCTTAGAATTACCACGCGGCGGTTGGTGAGCATCTCCTATTTAGACCTGATATGAATGTTGAAGTGCCTTGGGACCGAGGTGGTCCTGATGTGACCTTGCACCAAGGTAGATCCGTTGCGGACTTGGCATGTTAGGCTAAGTTGTTGTCCTACTAGTTAGGTCGCGTCCACGTATCCCCTATTACTAGGTTGGGCCAAATCACCCTGCATCATATATATTTATTTGTGTTCTTTTCAAATTAAGCCTTAATTACTATTTTGGGTGGAGGTGTAGTCATAGAGGTGGCCACAAGCCAAGCTTCTTATGAGCTATTTGAGCTCGACTCAACTCAGTTTAAACTAGGGCTACAAGTCGGTCCGGGTTAGGTCGGGTTGAGGCCAACCCTAAGTTCTAAACCCCCAACCCTAACTTAACCTGACCTTTAACCCAACCTATCCAACCCTAACCCTAACTAAATTCCTTCAACCCTAACCTAACCCAAGGTCAATTTCAGGTTGCACTGGGCTCGAATTGGGCCCAACCCAACCTTCTTCCCATCCCTTAATATCTCATACAAACTTCTTAGTCTCATATCTTAACTCAACTTTCACTACATATATTAATCCTATGTTTTATTAGTATTTGTTTGTTGATGTTTTTATTGGTTCTTTAAGTACAAAATTTAGAAAAGAAAGTATTTGAAATGCCTATAGTTTATTAAGAGTTATGACTTATAATAGATCTTTTATGGGCATCAAGCTATGGGTGGCAAACAACAAAGTGGAGATAAAGAACAAAATATTCAAAAAAGATAAAGTATATTATTAAGGTTTTAGTATTTCCAATTAGGATTAAGTGATGTGATTATCTTAAAAGAAATAAATGATAGTATGTGGTGGGGGCTACACAACTATCATGCATTAAACAAATCAATGTATGATATATCACATATATAACATATATTTATATATGATATGTACTATAGAGTTGGGTTTGGGTTGGATCGGTTTGCCCGAGTGGTCAACCCTAACCTAACCCAAAGTAAAGTCGGGGTTCATAAATTTCAAACCTAACCCTAACCCAAGCATCAACCCAACCCGACTTTTTCAGGTTGGGTTAGGGCCAACCTGACCCAAGTTGTAACCTTAGTTTAAACCGAGCTTGAGCCTGATATATAGGCTCGTTTACTAATCGAGCCGAGCTCGAGCCTAGTGAAGCTCATGAGCCTAATCGAGCCTAGTATAATAAATAAATAATTTTTTTATTATATACATGCATACATCCATCCATACATACATACATATATATATATGATAAATAACTTTTATAATTCTTAATTTTTTGTATGTAAAATTAAAAATATTTTTATATATTATTTTTATTTAAAAAAAAAACTTGGCTTGTAGTCGAGCTCGAGCCTATTCGAGCTTGAACTTGCAAGCTTTGAACCGAGCTGAGCTTGAGCTCAAGTTTTTAACTCAAATTAAGCTCAAGTTTGAGCTTGAACCTAACACAATTTTAGCGAATTGAGTTTGAATAGCCAAATATTCGGCTCAGCTTAACTCAAATCCACCCCTCGATGTAGAGATGGGAGAGGTCCGAGAGAAGATATAGGAAAAAACATCATGCATGAACCCACCAATTTGCTACCTAATTCACTTCCTGAAAGACATGATGATAGGTGAGGCTAGTAACACGTTCAACCTCGAGCATTCATTAATAATCATCGAGAGGTTCACCTAGTGGTACATCCCCATGTAGTGGGAACATCTCCCATGAATAATAACACAAGTATGTGAGATATTCCATATACATGGTGGGATGTGTCTGCTTGTTTAATGTGAGGTGCGTTATATGGGCAAGAGATTCGATCTCCCGTGTAAGACCCCTTTTTAAAGAGACTGAATCTGCTCCTCACACATGGTGCCTCACACCGACCTCACAGGCACATCCCACCATACGGGAAATGTTCCCAATGCATAGCAGAATGTGCCTGTCAGATCGTTGTTAGGCGCCCAGTGTGAGTAGTAGACCCCAATTCCTCTTTAAAAGCCAGAATCCCAATTTGGATGGACCTCAGTGTTAGTGACCTGCCACAATCCCAATTTGGATCGTCCTCTAACCTGTCATATTATAACAAACTGTTGACTCACTCAATTAATAACCTATTGATATAAATGACTGAATTGTTGTTGTAGTTTACATCAAACGGATAAGTGGTTCAACTTCTTTACTGGGTTTTAAATTTTGAGTCCTGGTTGTAGGGATCAGGCCCAATAAGTATGATTAATAACTGAGAAGATTGTAGGTCTAATACTAAATACTGACAGACCCTATAGGGTAGGGTTTGGATAGGACTTTAAGCTTGGATTGTGATTTTCCAACATTATTGGAGTTCTCTCAGAGCAGACATTGTCCAATTAGTATCTGATTTCTTTCAAACAAGACAACTTCTGAAGGAAATTAATAACACCTGCATCACTTTTATTCCCAAGTGTAGGAATCCAGAGAGGCCGTCTAACTATAGGCCAATAAGTCTCTGCAATATTATCTATAAAATCATCATCAAATGGATGGCAAATCGAATGAAGCCATTACTTCAGGAGCAAATTGCGCCAAATCAAGTTGGGTTCCTCAGAGATAGACAAATATCAGATCATGACTTGCTCACCCAAGAAATTCTTCATCATGTCAAGAGACAAAGAACAAAGAAGGGATGGGCTGTAATTAAATTAGACATGTTCAAAGCTTTTGACAGAATGGATCAGCTTTTCTTGGTTGAAGTTATGAAGAAAATGAATTTTCCACTTCATTGGTGCAATCTCGTACAAGAATGTATATCTACTCCATCATTTGCGGTCAATTTACGAGGAACCTTATGAGGACACTTTCAACTGAAGCAAGGTCTTAGACAAAGGAGAAAGCAAAGGACTCATTACGGGTTTCAAACTCCGTAGATCCAGTGAACTTAGACAATTAAAACAAATTCTTAGTTCCTTTGAAAGTATTTTGGGACAACAAATAAATTACACAAAATCAGAAATATTTTTCAGTCCCAAAATTCATAGAAGGCACAGAAGATTACTCTCTTCTATCATGGGTATCAGACAAAGTAGTCATATTTTAAAATATTTGGGAGCAAGAGTGGGAGGTGAGAAAGCTAGAATCACACAACAACAGTATTTATTACATAGGTTACAATCACAAGTGGAAGGATGGAAGTCAAGGTTGTTATCCCAAGCAAGAAGAACTACACTAATTAAGGCAGTGGGTCAATCCATTCCCATCTATGCAATGTTCACGAAGTTATTTCCCAAGAGGTTTACATCACAATACGATAAGTTTTGTAGGGATTTTTTGTGGAAGGGATCTCGACAACAACACTCATCTCACACTATCTCATGGTCCAAGTTATGTATACCAAAGCAAAAAGGTGGATTAGGCCTCCGTTTAGCAGAGGAGATGAACAGGGCAATGTTTGCAAAGCAGGTTTGGAGATTATGCTATGAAGCAAATT